CAGGCCATATTTTGCATGCTTATCAGCTCACTTAGAAAACATGTTTTTTGACTAATCAGGGTAGTGTATGAATATAATGCTATCTTTCCTGCTGCATACATCATAATTATTGATGTTAGAAAGCACTGATCATCAATCTTAGTTACTTTAGAACGTGATTATTTGCTGCTATTGGTCAAACAAAGAGATGTACAAAGAATCAGACATAATGCAACTTGATTTTCATGGAGGTATTTTTGTATACGAAGTACTGAGAATGGCTGGACTGTAAGCCACTCAACAGTATCCATTCCACAGTGTTTTTATTAATGAGTATGCAAGTAATAACATATGGCACGTGGCTACACTGGAAGCCCACACCTTATGCCTTCAGCCATCCAAGAAGCATGAATATCCAGCATAATCAGTTCTTTTCTTCCTTCTCTGAAGCAGTGGATAATTTAAAATGACCACATCCAGCAAGCTGACATCCTTGGCAGTAGGAGTTGCGGCTGACAGTAAAGCAGTTAAAAGGTACTGGCAGAGGTCCTGTTCAGCAAACCATTCCTATTCAGCAAAACACTTAAGCATGTGCTTAAGTCCCATTGACTTCAGTGGGGTTTCACATGTTGCCTGATTTTAGGAGGTTAATATTATTATTTTAGATAATATGGGCCAATTAATCTGATCAGAAGATAAGGTTCTTGTCCCAGAATCAGGCTACACAGAGTTTGCAAGGACACTCACACTGAGATAAATATAGCCTTAAACACTTTTATTGAGAAAAATGGATTAGTAATCAAATGGTAAAAGAATCAGAGTTACAAAGGCAATAATATTGTTCTAGAGATACATGTGATATTATGTACTATAAAGCTTTTGATTAATATACTCACACCCTTCCTTGATAACCTGGTGGTAAGAGACAAAGGACCAGCCTTGCCTCTGGCATGCCAAAAGAGTTCAGGTCCAGGTTCCTCAATTCTTGAATGGGAGGTGCAAAGCTTAGGAGGCGCTGAGGCTATAGAAGACTAAAGAAGTTAACTTAGAGTTTTACTTAACTAACTGACTTAAAACTTACAATTGAGAACTAATAGACAAAAGATAATAAACAAAAAACTAAGAACAAAGAAGCCTTGAAGTTTAGAAGCTTAGACGCTTCCTTGGCATGGTGGATCTTATAGAGCTTGAGCCACCTGAGGCTTCCTTCTATGTCCAAATTTAGTTTCCTCACCCACAAAATGTTGGGGTACACTTACTCCATAGGCTGGTATGTTCGTACGGATTGATGGCATATACATACATATTAATGACATTAGCTCATTCTCAATCTGTTATTTCTGTCTTAACCAGTTATTTCAGTTCTTTCCAAATTGTGGTGTACCTCTTAAGTACAAAGAGGGTATGAACTTAGGTAGCCCTCCTATACCACCTAGCTTCAATGCATCTTTTATCTATCTTTGTTACAGGTTGCAACCGTATATGAACCTTGTGCTTTAGCTCATCACCACTATCTAGGTGAAAGGTTCCAAACATATCTACGCTAACTTAGCCTTCACTCAACATACAGGATATGGCCTATAGGTCCCTTGCGTTACAGCTAATACACACTCTAATGTAAACCTATTATAACCTATTGTAATAAAACCAATAGTCAAACCCATAAGAAAATAAGAAAAGATATCTAGCCAAGCAAGCAGGCTAGCCCTATAGGCTACACACCATATGCTTAACAGTTTTGCTGAATTGCAGAATGCTGAAAATGCCATTTTCTCAGCAGTATATAGCAATAGCCAACAAATTCCAAAAGATTGTACTGAGTTACCTGCAAAAAGTTGTAAATGGAACAATTTGTAGGGCAAACTCTAGTAAGCATGCCCCTCACTCTGAAGCATTTGTTATTCCCAGAGCCCATATAGATCTGAGGAGGGGTAAATAGGCTAATGACAAGTCCCAACCTGTGCATTTATATGGGATCCTCTCTGTCTGATATATCCTTTTAGAGTCTGTATTTGTTAAACTGCAGGCTGAAATAAAGAATGCTGTTAAACTGTCTCTTCTAGATATTGGGTTATTCAATGGCTACGCACATTTTTGTCAACCAGGGTTGCAATGATTTTCTCAGGGATTTTTGTTGTCATTGCCATGAAGGTGTAGCAAGTCCATAGCCTCAGTTTTGAAATATCTCTGATCCAACTCAAGATTGGCAGTAATAGCAAAGTATATCATAACTATTTTAGTAATCCAGTGCCTCAAAAAGAGAAATTAATAGCATTTTGTGTTTCATTTTTGAATTTTACAAGTATGTCAATGGTGTCACTAATGCATCCATAGCCTATCGAAAAGACACGGGTTTATTTACACCACCTTTAAAGACTATTTTACAGTAATATTGCACAGAAAAAAAAATCTTGTAACTCCATCAGACTTTTCTTGGAAAAAAGCCTTAATTGTATGTACACACATAACATCTCATTCCCCTTCGTGAATGCCAGAATGACCCTCTATAACAAAATATGGG